CAAAAGGTCAGAAATTAGACTTTCAGGAAGAGATGTGGGGATGGTTACAGGAAGACCTGCTAAAACGCCACTGCAGTTATTCATCTGTGGGGCAATAGAAGTCTGGGGTGGAAATGGGAAGAAGGTGTGAATCAGTTTGAAGGCATGAACAGCGGGACTTGATGACGTATATGCAGAGAGGATGAACAAAAGGAAGGATTGAAAATGGAGGTAAGGATTTTAGTCTGGAAGACTGGTAGATAAAATGGTCTAAATGAGCAGAAATGTCAAGTTGAAGCGTCAGTCCATTTACAAAACGATAATGAAAAATTTGATTCGGGACCTGCTGAGTTTAGGTGACTTGAGAAAACTCTTCTGCAATCCAAGCACAGGTGAGAGGGGCCAGGATTTCAAGGAGGAGAGCATTGGTTATCGATGTCTAAAGCTACGGATACATCAGCAGGGGAGAGAAACTTGGTTGTATAATTTCTCTACCTGGGTGGGCGTGTAAATGTCAGAGTTGTTGCCTTTAACTCCCCAGAATCCTTCCCTATCAAACCAAACACTACATTCATTCCATCCTTTTTCTGAACATCTTTGGCTTATCCAGAAATGTTGCTTCACATTTTCACTATGCTTTCCATTTCAGGTTTTGGAAACCTTAGAAGAAGCTTACTCCTCTAATCATTGTGCACACTATCTCCACTGTAAATGCTCAATAAGCATTTTCAATGAAGCTATAAAGAAGGCCCTTCTTTTTCCACTTCCTTTGATGTTCAAGAACTATGATTGTCTTAGCTGATAAGACCTGTTTCTGATACTTTATCAATGGGGGTTATGTCTGGGAGACAGGGACGTTGAATGAAGTTTTGTAAATGAGTCTCTGGCTTCAACATTCATCAGCTTAAGATGGGGATGCAGAAACGCTGCTCTGAAAAAAAAAAAAATCTCATATGAAGTTGGCTGGGGCTGCCTGAGCTACTAATAATCCCTGCAAGGTTTTCAGTCTCTGCCTTGAGCTTTGGAGCGCATTATTGCTTTAACCTCCACTTTAGATCTCGCCATGGTAACACTGGAATGTTTGCTATTTTAGGAATCATGCCTCATTGAACAGCAGCGTTATTTGCATTGGGTTCCAAACAAGCCATAAATGCAATGGCTTCGGTGTCTGCTGCTTTGTGTGGGTGCCGATTGTTGAATGCATGCCTCTCCCGAATTCTGTTGTTCGGTTTCATTCTCAGGCCAGCCACAGTGAAATTACAGGGTAATGAATATCACCTTATACTGGGGGGAATGGAGAGGGAAAAGGGGAAGACACAAAACGAGAGCTCCTCTCGACCAGTGGTTCTCAACCTTCCTAATGCCTCGACCCTTTAATACAGTTCCTCATGTTGTGGTGACCCCCAACCATAAAATTATTTTCGTTGCTACTTCATAGCTGTAATTTTGCTACTGTTATGAATCATAATGTAAATATCTGATATGCAGGATGTATTTTCATTGTTACAAATTGAACATAATTAAAGCATAGTGATTAATCACAAAAACAATATGTAATTATATATGTGTTTTCTGATGGTCTTAGGTGACCCCTGTGAAAGGGTCGTTCCCCAAGGTTGGGAACCGCTGCTCTAGACTGTCCTTTGCAGGCACATCGTTTCCCCTGCCTGCACACCCTCCAGGAATGGTTTCATTTAAAAGGTTCTTTGAGATGAAGCTCCTGCCATTCTGTAAAGGGAATAATATCCGTCACCGGGGCCACTGCCAGCTTTCCCCTGCAACGCTGAGGACGCCTTCACCAAGGAAGAGAGCGATGCTTTGTAAACCTCGCTCCATTCGGTTCTCTGACTCCCTAGTGAAAAGGGGGACAGCCACCTCAAACAGCCCCCAAGCACCCCGATCACAGCATGCTAGCGACCCCAGTGGATACAGAGGACGGGAGGCCAACGCAGTATTGTCAGTCGGTGGCATGTTAAGCTTAGGGCATTTTGTTGTTGTTCTATGCAGTTAATTATCTAATAGAAGCTCAGAAATATTGTGCAAGCACACTCCAGCTGCAGTGATGCTGTGCGATGTCTTGGTAGAATGGAAAAGGGAAACAGAGGGATAATAAAATCAGTTGAGTCAACTAATCTGTATCAAAGCGGTGCGTCTTATTTGCAGAAACGAAAATGCAGCTACTATGTGCAGATAAGGGGGGGCACCCAGAGCAAAGCCTTCCGGTGTCACAAATAGCAAGAGTTGCCACACACTACTGCATACAGAGGGGGGAGACAAAGCACCTTATAACCGGTTGTATCATCATCTTTATGCCTCTATCCAGTTCACAGAATGGAGTAGATGAAGCCAGTTATTAGCTGTGTCAGACCACCATTTACGAGGCATGACATCAAATATCCGCTCAGTCAATCAGCCTAAACAACCACCAGGATTATCTTCCTAAAACACATCAGATGCTTTTATTCCCCTTGCTTAATTTTTTAAAAATTCTCAGTTGCCTACAACATGAAGTCCTTAGCGTGACATTTGTGGGACGTTCCAGCTATGTATTTCACTCTCCGACATTTACCATATATTTGGTAATACCAATTCCTCCCAATTCCTTCACTATGCATATATTGTTCCCCTTGCTTAGAATGCATTCTCCAATTTTATGTCCGGTGTACTCAATCTTTAAGGCCGGGTCAAGGGGGACTTCCAGGTGAGGCTTTCTCTGACTTATTCCCTGTAATTGGTGGGTCCCTTTAGCATTGCACGTATATTTCTGTGTCTTATTTATCATCCTGTATTTTAATTCTTTACATGCCAATCTTTTATTGGACTATTAACCCTTTGGAGGCTAGGACCCCTTGGGCCATGGTTCTACTGAGCAACTGTTCAATCCCCGTTGGTGAATTCTGCAAACTCATGGGGGTGTTTCTTGTTTTCATTATCATCCCAATAATGAGTGGGACAAAGGGTGCTACATAACTTGCAATGGACAAAGCATGACATTTGAATGACTTTCAAATCTTCCGCGGGGCACTGATGGAAGTAATAAAACTGTTTACATAATCATCTGAACTGAGGACTTAATTCTACTGTATATATGGACATACTAATACACACTAAATTTTCCATGAGTCGAACTGCTGTGTAAATTAGGAGAGAACTGGTTTTGTTTCACTTGGAAACTTACCAAGAGTTTTGGCATCACCGTTGGCTCATTATCACGTTGGCATCACCACTAACTCATCACTAACAGCATTGCCACTTGCCATTTCTGAAGTGCCAACAGAACATGCCTGCATGTTGTAACATCACTTATAAAGGCAGACTGCATTTGAGGCTGTGACAGTCACAGTGCTTTCTGTTACACTTATAAGCACCTATTTCTTTGTCTTTTTAATATAATTGTGTTCAAGAACTTACATATTGAAAAAACATTATTTTATTATAAATTACTCTCTTCTTATGCCTCCTATGTCAATATACTTCACAGGGTTGTTTTCAGACTTGTTAATTTGAGTTAATGTATAAGATACTTAGGGCCACACCTGGTACATAGAAAATGGTACAATATGTGCTGATTTCATTACTACAGAAAAGTTGTTGAATATTCATTGATAAATATTTTAAATTACACTTGGGATATGTTTTATATTTTAATAGCTGAATTAAATGTTCCCAAGATATTACAGAAAGTGCTTCAATACTTCTTTTTGTCTAAGAGATTAAAGTGGGAGATAATTATCATTGTGATCAATTTGCTCTGAACCATTCATACTCCAGTGTGGTCCACCTAATGAGCAATAACTCAAATTGACAACTCTGAGTTCAGTTTTTGTCTATAAAATAGTTTTTTTATGTGCAAGGCTAACAGGTCATAAGGGAGAATTATGACCATTAATCTCACTAATAAGAGCTATATTTATTAATTTTGTCCTTGTTATAAAACAAAGACAGTTGCAATGTGAGTGAGGTTTGCAATATCTGACTGACTATATCTCTATAACTGCTACTCATTTTAGGAACAGCCTTACTCTTTCAGGTTGTTAATAGGGATAGTGATGATAGTAGTTACCATGTTGTAAGTCATACCCTAGACATCTCATACATGTTATTTCTAATGTGTACAAATAGCGAACATGAGGTATTTTAATGCCTATTTTACAGAGGAGGAAACCATTTGGAGGGTTTATGTGCCCAAGACTATACATAAAACAAGAATTGACACTCAGATTCAAATTCCAAAACCTGAACTCATTCTTTCATACCACTTTGCATCCCTCATTAAAATCCAAGAGACTTGCCCTGGCCGGGTGGCTCAGTTGGTTGGAGTGTCATCCCCTACACCAAAAGGTTGCAGGTTCGATTCCCGGTCAGAGTACATACCTAGCTTGTGGGTTCCATCACTAGCTGGGGCATGTACAAGAGGCAACCGACTGATGTTTCTCTCTCGCATTGATGTTCTCAATCAATCAATCAATCAAAATATATCTTCAGGTGAGGATTAAAAAAAATTGCTCCGCCCTGACCGGTTTGGCTCAGTGGATAGAGTGTCGGCCTGCGGACGTTAGGGTCCCAGGTTCAAATCCGGTCAAGGGCATGTACTTTGGTTGTGGGCACATCCCCAGTAGGGGGTATGCAGGAGGCAGCTGATCGATGTTTCTAACTCTCTATCCCTCTCCCTTCCTCTCTGTAAAAAATCAATAAAATATATATCTTTTTAAAAAAAAATTGTCCCAACAACCTGAGGGAGCTTGGTCATGTATCAGTTCTCGAGTGAGCCTCCAGAAGAGAACAGCCCAGCTGCAACTTTGATTTCAGACTTGGGAGACCCTGAGCAGAGAAACCAGCCAAGCCGTTCCTGGACTTCTGACCTACAGAAACTGTGGGATAATAAATGTCTACAGTTTCAAACCACTAAGTATGTAGTAACTTGCTTCACAGCAATAGATAGCTAATACATTTAGATATAAGAAAGCGGGACTCATGAAAGCACGAGGCGAGTGCCTCCGGAAGTACAGCCCAAACCTCACCTGCACTTCCATGCTAGTTGGCTCCTCCAGCAGATGTAGCAGCTGTTGTTTCTCTTGAGAGAGCTGTTCTACAATCTTCTCCTGGGCAGCCAGGCTCTGACTCAGTTCTTCAATTTGTCTGGATTGAAGAAAAAGTAAGAACAATTATGTTCATGATACTATTACTACCTTCAGCCCACTCCAAAGAGAGCATGGTTCAATACAGGAGGTTTTTAGCTTTGGGGGTCATTGAACTCTTTGATTCTTTTCTTCAGAAAGCCATGTATGCTCTGCTCCAGCCCCCAAACATTTACACAATTTGCTTACATTGTCACTGGGTTTACGGGCCTCCTGAAGCCGATCTATGGATCTATAGACCATAGGTATGTAAACTGGAAATAAGGGCCCTGAAGTTATAGTTTCTTGGGTTGCTATTGTTGTTTCACTCAACAAACAATTCTTAGATAGCCATTATGTATACTCAATGCACTCTACCAAGTACTGGGAATATAATCTCTGCTCTGTGAAGGCATTAATTCTTTTAGTGTGTGTGCTAAGAGTTTGGGGAGTGCAGAGACACAGCAATAGAAACAAGTAATAGTCATAGAATGTAGTAAGTGCTACCATCTCACAGGTGTATGTGTACCTTGTAGTACATTGGGTGCTGCCATGGAACTACAGGAAGACAGATTTAAAAAAAAAAAGATTAATTTGACTAGAAAAAGTCTGGGGAAAGCTCAGGAGAAGAGAATTTTGAAGACTGGGTTATTTACAGGTTCAGAAGGAGAGCTTGAACAGAGGAATGAAAGTATGAAGACACAGTTATATTTGGGGAAGAGTCATTGGTAGAAAGAAGGGGGAAAGGCTGGGGGGAGAGGGGGAGACAATGGCTGGAGAAGAGGCTGGACATTCAGGCTAGGATTAAGTTAAAAGACCGAAGGCCGTGTTGAAATATACAAACCATGGGTTCAAATATACAGTTATCCCTTATCTACAACACGCAAGGCATATCTTGCTGTTTCTCTGATAATGTTGAATTCTCCACTTCAAAACAGCTCTGCATTATTAGATAGGAATGGACAGTAGAGGGGCAGGACTGGAAGTGAAGACAATAGTTAGAAGTTTTGCTGTAGTAACCTGGACAGTAGTGGCCTTAACAACTGCCCAGTTACCTTTAGAAACAAATTCAAGTTCCTTATCATGGCGCACAAAGCTGGCACAATCAGACCCCTACTGTGAGCACAGCTTACCTCTCCCTAGTCTTCCCCAGACCCTCTGCTCTAGTTACGTAGAACCACGCGCAGGCCTTGAAATACGCCCTTCCCTCTGTCTCGCCACCACAGTTTCTCCTTCACACAGAAAATTGCTCTTCCCCCCATGTCCTATGCTTTCTTCTAACTTCTCTATCCATTCTTCAAAACTCAGCTCAGATCTTAGCTCCTCTAAGAAACCTTTAGTCTGGAAGAGATGACAATCCTCCATGTCCCCCAAGCATCCCCTGTTACTTCTATCAGAGAACTTATTAAGACTGTGCAACATGATAAGAGAGCTGGGTCTTTCATCTGTAACCTTAGTGCTTAGCCCAGTATCTGGAATGTAGCAGGTGCTCAGTAAATGTCTGTACAATAAGTAAATCCGCATCTCTCGTTTGCCACCATGGGACCCTTGTTCTATTTATACCTACACAAGGCTCCCGATTGCCAACAAATGAGTTCTTTCCATGAATACCATTGAAGACGCAACCCTAAAAAGAAAATCTTTGGTTGTGGGAGCCACCGAGTCTTAGGAATGGAGACTGTAAGTCCTTAAAAGGGAAGAGTGCAGCTGCTGTGTGACTCAGAACCTGGAGAACAGGCAAAAGGCAGGTGACAAATACAGCACCAAAGGCACCTACTTGTCCCTCTGGGCCAGGGCCTCCGTGTGTTGGTCGGGCTTGACCCGGTCTCCTGGTACGTCTTCCCTGTCCTTGGTGACTCCCTTCAGTTTCTCCGAGAGCTCCAGGTTACAC